ATGAGGCTTCTACTTTTCTGAGAACTTTTTACCCAGGAATGTATTTTCACTCTTCCAATTGTTTTCGTAAACAAGTAATGGAAGGATGTTACTTCAATGGATTGTTATGAGTAAAAAAGGAAACTAATCTCACGTAATCCTTGGTTCTACGCAATAGGTATTTATGAATTAGAGAACGTAAGTAGGATAAACAATTCGAAAATTGTATAGGGTAGCAGAGCATCCGAAGATCATAGCTCGAATAGATATTCTTAATCAGAAATAGTACTTTTCTTGGTTTGTCTCCAGATATTTTTTGAATATCTTTTTGTTTTCAGATAGCCATACTTTTACTTATTTATAATAGATGGCGTACGAAGAAATCTCTCGGAATCGGTACCAGTCTAAGCACAAGATATCAACTTGCTGAGAATATTCGCGTATTAAAAATTATAGTTCCGGTATGTTCGAATGAATACATTTTTGGGTTCCGAGATCACGTAAGCAGTATCAAAATAGATTGTAATAGCATTTCGTAGGCACAAGCCAGTAGAAGAGAGGGCCCCATTCTACTTCGTTGTATCAGGGGTCTTTCTATTTCCTGAGAGACAAAGAAGCAAAAAAAGCCAACATGAAACAAGCAAGCATCCAGTGCAATCAAGATTTGGAATTGACTAAAAAGGGTCAGGGAAGTTGTATCTTTGCTGGTTCTTTAACTTCTTTATGCACTTCTGAGAATGAACAATGGAACGAGAACCTACTAATACTCTTGCCAAACCTACACTCTTCAATTTCTCCNCTGAGAGACAAAGAAGCAAAAAAAGCCAACATGAAACAAGCAGGCATCCAGTGCAATCAAGATTTGGAATTGACTAAAAAGGGTCAGGGAATCCTGTCTGTTGTATCTTTGCTGGTTCTTTAACTTCTTTATTCACTTCTGAGAATGAACAATGGAACGAGTACCTACTAATACTCTTGCCAAACCTACACTCTTTAATTTCTCCAATCCTTTTTGTGAAAAAGTCGTTTCCAACATCTGCAATTCAGGTTATATTTTTTGATTTATCATTAACAACATGCGATATAGTAAGCCGAGTTATGTACACGATCGCACAAGAAGTGAAATGCTCGAGCAATGTATTTGGCGTACTTTATGTCACTTTTAAATTTGTAAGTTTATTTGATTGTGCAATATTTTTGGTTACCCCACGGGCACAATTACCACGATAAATATGGTTTCGGAGATTTTCTCTAAAACGAACCTTTAACCTGCAGGGATAACATAAGGGACGCTGTCTTGTCAAGAAAAAGTCTAAGTAGAGCAAATTAAGGGCCCCAAAATCGGCTAGTTGACGTACACCCCCTAGTCAGACGAGTTCTCACGGCGTTGTAGAGGCTGTAAAGTTCGCTCCATTTGAACGTTGCACGCATGCAGCTTTCTGTAGCCAGCTGTACGCAATGTAATGCATATTTAAACAGCTCGTTCAGATACCCTTTCCATGGGGGAACGCCCGTTGCGCGCGTCCGTAGAAAGTAGGTCATCCCATCTACCCCCACAAAGGTCTCGAGATGACATTACAGTACCACCAAGTGTCTCCGGAGCGAATGATTTGCATTTGCGCGTGTCATCTTCCCTTTGGCTGACTGCCATGGACCAAGCGCAAATCGTATGCCCCAATGACAACTGCGACGCCCGTCAAGTGTCGCGGGCCGACACGCCGTATTCTGTACTACCAACTCCATTATTCGATCAAAACTGGATACCCCAAAATTATCATGAACTGTGCCTTCGAATAGCCGTCTGGATAACCGGATGGAATAGCCGATTCACAAACTAAATAAAACGGTTAATGGAAACTGAAACAGATTTCAACATAGGAATAGAAAATGCATAAAAATGAGATGCCAGCTCTGAATTGCGGGACATACATGGTCCCGATTTCCACCAGTCGCAGGCACGCTCGCGGCAGTAGTTCTGCAGTGGTTACCGGACTCTTCCACTGTAGATTCAACTCTGACCCTTTTAGTGCGAGCAGGCACAGGGCGGATGCGACGAGGTTGGCACACCGTTTAGGTACAAGATCCAAACTCTCCTCAATTGTGTCCACTTCTTTGGATAAAATTAGATTTAACCAATGTAATGTTACGCTAAAATATAAAAACGGTTGAGCCCTATTTTGACTGTAAATATTAGAAAAAAAAGAAAAGAATCAAATTTTAGCTCAGCTTTTTGTTTCAACTATGTATACCCCTTTCTGTCCTCTTCTTCCATCCTGTGTTCCAGAAGTTCACGAAAATTAGTAGCTTATGCCAGAGCAATCCGCATGGTGGCAACAGGTGGGCGTCGTTGTCGTTTACCTCTTTTTTTACTTAATCTCTATATTGTTTACGTCATTAAATAGTGATGCTCATATGATTATTCAATGAAACATTTAGAGTCGTGATTCGAAACATTCTCGGTACAGTGATTAATGAAGGCCATACAGCAGATAAGTGCTTCATAACACTACAGAAGACGTGGGAGAAAACGTGAACGCCATAATGATCTCCAAGAATTCGGTTATGTAGTGACACTGAGCTGGGCTTTGTATACGTCGGGTTTTTGCCCAGTGATGTTTGTTCGATTTAAGAAATCATAAAACGATTTGTTTTCTCGCTTCTTGGTATTGTTCTTTCGGTTTTCGCAGTGAGGTAACCCTTCAACACGTCCAAGTTCCTCACCTTTCACTAGAATGCTATATTCTGGGGTCAACATATTCATTTGATTATACTTCGGTGCGACATGCTAGACCCTGAAAGGGAGTGGTAAGAAGACAACACAATTGCGACGGAGAACGTCCGTTGCGCGCGTCCGTCGAAAGTAGGTCACCCCGCCTACTCCGCGCGCGGCGCTCCCCAACTGAGGTCTTGACCTGACATTACAGTACCACCGAGGGTCAGTGGAGCGAATGATTTGCATTTGTCCGTAATATCTTTCCTTTGGCTGACGCTGTAGACCAAGCGCAAATCGTATGCCCCACAGACAACAGCGACGTTTGTCAAAGATGGCGCGCTGACGCGTCGCATGCGACGGCTGCGGCGTGACCTAGTTTTGACAGACGCGCGCAACGAAGCGCACCCCCTGCGGCATAATGAAGGAGAACAAAAGAAAAAGGAAACTGGAGAATAAAAGAGACACAAAGATCGCACTCAAAAGTAAACAATGTATAGTACTGGGATACTGGGAAGCAAGTGCACAACACCATAATACGCTAACAAAAGTATCTATTACACCTAAGGCTGTGCGACGGACGGGAGAGTCTTGGAATATGCAAGGGTAGGTAGTGTATAATAAACTACTAGATAGTGTATACTGCATATTCGGGCTATGAAAATGTCTGCCAGAAAATGATGACCAACCAAACTTCAACCTGTATCAGTAGAATGTATGTTTAGCTATTTTATTTCAATGAAAATTTGCTTTGTACAATGGCGACCGTTGAGCAAATGCGTACATGCCTCTATTCGTGAACTTGACTTTTCCTGAGATTTAATGATACGCTTTTCGTCAAGTGGAGCTCTTCCTACAACAGCTAACCCAATCCACACTCGTTCTAACTGACCGAATCATTCTGAATGCTTACGAGTCTGATAATTAACGAGAATTCGTGATAAATTAACATATTTCGAAGGATCTAAACTTTCATGTATCTTTTCAGCTCAGCTTTTTCTGACTAATTCTCTTGGATACGCTACAATAGTTTCATTTATCTACTCGGCTTGACATTCTCAAATCAAATTCAATTACACCGATGAGCTACAGTGGACCGTGTGATGGAGTTCAGTCGTTGTCGACACAGACTGATTTGAATAAAAGAGTAATGATTCAGACATCTACGAAACGGTTGCGATGTCACATAGCTGGTTCAAAGCCTCTCGAGTTTCGCATCGAACAGAGCAAAGCGAAATGTGAAACTGAGCCGTCCTGGACTTATGCTAAAAAAGGCATAATTCTACTGCATGAATACATAATCTCACATTCCTCAACATGATGCATACGGTAATCTCATTTCTAACATTCAAAAGCCGGTTCTACATAGTGTTCAGGTGATGAGCTCCGGCGAAGGAAGAGTACCAGCTCCCTGTGAAACTTTGAATAGAGTCCTAGATATATCGATAGGGCTTGGAAAGATATTAACAAATATGGAAATTAAATCTGCAAAATGAGCGTACCAAAAAGTTGTGAGCGTTCAAAGTGTGCATGCTTAAAACATGGAGAAACAGTGCCAGTTCATAAGCGCAGTTGCCCACAATGACCACAAGGGTCACCGTGGCGTAGTGGCACTACCCTCCCTCTACAGGTAAGCGATAAGGGTTTGCTCCCCGCTGTCGCGATGAAGTCGCAATGTTCCCCCTCCTTCCTCCTTACTGAGGGCTTCTTGACAATAGCTCAACCCGACACTTCATAACGAAATCTCGGATTTCCTCTTCCGGTTTCTACAGAGGAGTACTGTGGAGAATGGTGGTTTCCTTGAATTTCATCATTTGAGTAAAGATGAAAAGGCCGCCATGTTCGACTTCCTTTCAGTAGTGGCGTACTGAATGTGTATGTGGCCTGTACAATTACTTGCGATGGTCAGCTGATGTACGAGTCAGTGTTCTTATCCTCCTAGACGTGTCTGCCACCAAGTAACCGACCACAGAGGGATAGAAGGCTCGGTTGGCCTAGCCAGCTACTGATTTGGGATTCGAAGTCGTGACGATGCGTGTGTAATAGTGCACCACTCGTCACTACACCACTTCCGCCCTGGGCATAAAAGGACATAAAGATTTAAATATAATGTGATGAATTCATATGTGAAGGACATGAAGAACGACAAAGATATAAAGGAAAATGGATAGTCAAGGTTAACTGAGTACAACCAACCATACTTCAAACCAAATGTGTACACAAAGTGAATGATATCAAAACAAACTTATGATTATCTCTGTTAGCATAGAGGAGCGTGGTATGAACCATTCTTAGTTTTTAATAGTGAATTATGGCAGAAAGCGACCAAGCGTCGGAGCCAGACGATGGAGCCGGTAAAAGTTGTGAGTATTACACAGGTATTGGCCAAAGAGTTCACGCGTTTTGGTGGTGAAGCTTGAAGACAGAGTAAACTTGCTTCTGCCAAATATATATGCAGTTGAAGTTGATATATATGTATTGGTGTTGGGATAGCTGAANAAACCAAATGTGTACACAAAGTGAATGATATCAAAACAAACTTATGATTATCTCTGTTAGCATAGAGGAGCGTGGTATGAAGCATTCTTAGTTTTTAATAGTGAAGTATGGCAGAAAGCGACCAAGCGTCGGAGCCAGACGATGGAGCCGGTAAAAGTTGTGAGTATTACACACGTATTGGCCAAAGAGTTCACGCGTTTTGATGGTGAAGCTTGAAGACAGAGTAAACTTGCTTCTGCCAAATATATATGCAGTTGAAGTTGATATATATGTATTGGTGTTGGGATAGCTAAATCACCTTGTAAAGTAACGTAGAGATAGAAGCAGTTTTTTAAATACGAATCAGCAACTCTTTTCCTTCTTATTCTCTACCAATTTGAAAGAGGACGGTCATAGTGATAGGGAAAAGGAATTCATTTAAAAAAACGGAGTTATACTACTGTCCAATTTCGTACCTGTAATAATAAATAGATACAAAGTTACTCACGAACGCTGTACATGAGATGTACTACCTTCGACACTCTGCAAGTAATACGTGGTATTTGACGACAGTTCTTTGTGATTAGTTGCGATATGAGCCAACCAGTGACTTATTATAGAACGTTTTTTTCAGCGTCGTCGGTATTTGGATGTTCCGGAAGCATAACGAATTTTCCTTGCAGTGTCTTTGCCCTGGTTACCATGGGACTCACAGGTTATTTTTCGCTCACACAATACAATGCATCATACACAATTCAGAGTTGACAGCATGGTTGATTGCGCAGTTTTACTCTACTCTTTCAAAATGCGGCTCTGGTAATGATTAAAAGCGGTAGATACGTTATATATCATACATATTTGCAATGCAGAAGGGACTCATATCGTGGTCGTGGAGTATGATGGTTGCAGGCGAAGAAAGCCCAAGAATCGGTGTCTCCAAGTAAAAAAAAAATTCAAAAATTCTTTAAAAACGGCTAGAGACAAAGAGAATGGCAGAGAAGGGGCGTTTGAGCGAGCTATAGAACACAGTAGTGCTCAAAAGTATTCGGCGAAATGCTTCTCCGGTAACTCTTTTCAGTCGTAACTTCTTTCCTACTGGATCTGAACATACGAAATTTCAATATGTGTAGCATGGATGTATTGTGAAAATTTGCCACTATTAACCTGCAATCTGATCGTGTTCCTGATATCCCAAAGGGTTTGAACTCAAATCATCTGGAAATACAGACATCTGTCCTTCTAGGACTTCTTTCCTTTTTGCCATGCCCAAAGTGTACGAGCTCTATTGCCGAACACAGTTGAGAAGAAAGACGCACAGAAGGCGTGAATAACTGCAGTCGTCACTAACTTTGCATAAGCGAAGTCTGCTACCGCAAAAAACACCCTGCTCTCAGTTACTTGAATATTGCTGCTTTGCCGTCAAACACGGCTGGATGATGTGAAATATGCTCTATTTAAACATATCAAAATTTCGCGCGATTTGCTCCACTAAGGAAAAAGTTATGAACGAGAAAACGTGAAAACGTTTGGCCGAATACTTTTGAGCGCTACTGTATATCATTGTGTAGGGCAGGCTACAGTGAGTAAGAACGTTTTCATTCATATCGCATTTAAAATCAAATCATAAGTAAACAAAAATACGATTATCAGCAAAAATAGCAGAAAGAGTAACAGAGAATAACAGGAAAACAGTAAAAAGACCCTCTTACCACTCGGCGTCCATCTGATTGCCAAGTTTGCTAAACTGTGGGTCACGGAGTGAGTAGCGCATCGCCTCTACACTCGTCTGACATGCCGTCGGCTATTGGGCGTGTGGGTACTGGTGGGAATAGCGCAACCTGTTTCGCCTCGGCACTCATCTGACATATCATCGGTGATAGGCGAGGACGTCGGCGATTCCGGTTGTGGGCTCATATTATGCCTTATCTATTGAGTTTTTCGTCCCGAAAGCGTTCTCTCTGTGACCCTTAGGTAATCTTTGGAGGAAATCGTACGAAACATTTTTATCGTGAACGGTGTCTTTGAAAGGAACCGCCGCATTTGAGTGTGATACTTGTGTTCGAGCGCGCCTTGTCCTGTGGGCCAAACTTGCAGGCCACCATCTTGTCTCTGTGGGAATCTCAGGAAACATTTTCATTGGGGACTGTGCATCTAAGAACCTGTTGACGGAAACCTCAGCAGTAATGTCTTTCTTATGTTCATCTAACTTCAAATATTTTCTCTTTGACGACTCTGGCACCTGCGAAATCTTATAGTCTGTACTTTCGAAACTGTGTGGGCGATGTAAGTAGGTGTACCACCTTGGCATACATGGTTTTTCGCGCAGCAGAACATTGTAGGATTTCTATCACGAGATGGTCAGCATAAGGGAACTTTCTGTGAGTGGGGTTGACTCCTTTTTTGCTTTCAGTGTACTTAACAAATTGCCTTATTCGGCTTTCGACGGTCACGTGTGGATTTCTAGCGTTTCTTGCTGGCATACTGACTCATCACTGGTACTGGCTTCATGGTGTCAAGCTAACTCGAAGAGAAGTAAGCATGTTTCATGAGATTTTCACCATCAAGTAGTTCTAAGATTGCCGAGCATATCGATTGCGATGGATTCAACCTTCCAGATGATTTTCTTTGATGAAGCGAATCTCCTCGAGACCTCAAACTTATTCGAATATAACCATGGGCCGAACACTGAGGGAACAACGCCTTTTTCAGGTAGTTGAAGACCTAGTTTATCCGTTGTGTTGTTGAAATCTATCACATCTTCGTTTACAGGTCCAGAAGTGAGCCCCGATGCGCCTACGACTATTTGGCAAGCACTGTTCTGCGACGACAAACAGCTCCAGATGCAAAAGGTATGCGTTCCGTGGTCCCCAGACATCTCGAATTTTCAGGCACATTACCCAGGAAAACTGCCGTCCGATGTTTTGATAACTTTTGGTTATCCTTATGATGAAATCCTGTAGGCGAGTTGAGTGGGGTGGGAGCTGTCAGCTCTCGTCGCTGGCCCATGGACATCCCTTCCCATCCAGGGAAAGGGAATGAATGCTTCTAATTCAGCCCCAGCGGCTGTCTCAACCACCTACCAGTCTCGGATATATAGCTAGCTTCCAAGAAGAATTCTAATATTTGATATTTCCAAAAAGCAGTGGGCAATCAGTGATTGCTTCTAACAACTCAGCGTATAGGCCACCGCACGGGCGTCACCACAGTCATAAATTTTTCCAATGTAAGGCTAATAATTCTGGGTAAAGAATAGCATAAGGCATAATACTGTAGTAGTGTGGTATCGGGCACACGAGTGGGATGTGCCATGATCGTGAGCTCGATATGGAAACAATGTTGTGATGTAGTGAGTACAAAGTATTAGTATTACTCTTTTGGTACAGAATGATGCGTAGAGTTAAATACAAGGGGCAGATAATAATGACTTTAACTTTTACTCTACTGTAATGCCGGTCAGTAATTCCGTTTAGTTATCGTGGACCTTTTCGATTGTCTGGAATCGGGCTCTGAAGACTCAAGCCGGAATTCTGAATTTTTCTAAACATTTATTTCTCATTCCCCTTTAAATCATTCAAAAAAGCCACTGACGTCATCAGAACAACCTTCACCTGGTTGTTCTTCCCAGATGACTACCATCGGCTTATTATTAATCCTTTTTCAATGAACGGAAGGTTTCCACGAAGTTTTGTAGTCTGATTAAAGCTCTTTCCTTCAGTTCTACAAAGAGCACTACGGTCCAGTCTGGGAAACTGCAAGAAGAAGAGAACAAGAATGGAAGGCAATACATTCACCTGTCAGTGATCATACTCCTCCTCATCATGTTATTTTATTCGGAGCAGAGTCCTTCGTCAGCCGGTTTGATTGAGCTCAGGAACCTAGGCTTGATTCTGGTGCCGCTTTACTTTTGCTTTTTTTCAGGGCATGGTATGAGTATGGCCTTACCCTAGTAGATGTAGAAGTCATAGTATCGTAAATACACGACTAGAGAACCAGATTAAGCCCAGGTTTTTAAGCATGTCACTGTCCTAGTTATAACCGATCGATCTTCTCATTATCATTATCGAATAATGTTCGAATTTCCCCTCCTCCAAAGGTAGCAGGTAGTAGCAATGCCACTGAGGAAGGGGGATGCTTTTTATTATATGCCTCAAAAGCCTCAAAACTCTGATGGAGTCTGATGGAATCTGCCTTAGTTTCAAGTGCGAGCAATCTCCAGAGTAACTCACGAAGTTTGTTTTCCAGAAACCGACGAATGGAGAAAACAATCAAAAATGATTGGGGCTTCAAGTGATCCGTTTTTACGATTTAAATGTGGATTTTTAAAGTTACTCCAAGCGCATATTGTTGTTTGAATGTCTAGTGATTCACGTGTCATTTCATAAATATGCGTGGTCTACGGTTTACCATATCAGTGGGAGAATGCCACTTGATCAGTCTGATTCTCCTTCTCGGATTGTTTCACATTTCGGAACATCCTGTTCCAGCATGCGCCCTGGAAAGCAATGTAAATTATGCACGTTGTGAGAAATCGCTACCCATCTAAGTGGAACATGCATGAACTCTAAACAAGGCTGAAGAAGGAATCTCCTTCAGTGAACCGTCTGAATGTCACCTAAAAGGTAGATCTACACTCGGCATGTTTATGATGTTGACACATTTGTGCCCTACGAGGTTTTCGATCGTCCAGTCTACCACATCCTTCGAAAATCACCTTTTCTAAGCTGAAGAAAAAAATGAATTGGAAATCTACAAGTAGCCTACCTTAAAGCCTTCTTCGGGCTCAAGTATCACTTATATTCAAGTAGTGTCATGATTGAACAAATGAGATTAGATCAATCTTGAGCCTATTCTGTGATGTTAATGCTCTCTGTCTCTGAAAACAATTTAGGTCTATTTTAAGAGAACAACAAGTTGATGTTGTCTTCGTTGTTGTTGTCATCATTGCTACAGCTGAACGAGCGGGGGTCTATCGTTAGGATTCTATTAGTGATGCCTTGTCAGCATTCATCAAATCAAGCTCTTGTCAGCTTCACTCGGACTATACCTCTCACAATTACGTTCTTTTTATGCCATGAAGACCTCGAATAGAGTTTATCTTTTTAGGTTTTAAATACCCAAAACCGGTTTTGAAAAGTTTCAGGTTGAGGATTGAGAGATTTAGTTAGACTGAGTTCTCCTCGTGAGTGTTCTCAAGAACCATCGATTATCTGAGGGAACCCCGCGGGAGCTTAAGCGACAGGGTTGACCCGACTAAAATGTGAATAGAATAGGAAGTCAGGGTCAGAAAGTGTAGGGATATTCGACCAATTTCTGTTGAGATCAGTCTTTTACTTCCTTCAGAGAGCTGCGATTGTCGGGCACAAAGTAAGAATCACACTCGTTTCCGTTGGTGTTCTGTAGGTGTTTACCATGTGTTAGTAGCGATAGTGAAGACCTACAGAATTCGGAGGGGCTTATCATCCAGTATTTGCCTTTTTGTCGCCCCATGGATTGGGTAGCGCAGCGGGGGAGGCCCGTTTAAAGCTGCATAGCATGATTTCAAGTTTGTGGACCAGAAAGGCGGAATTTCATTTCACGCTCACCGATAGAAGTAAATGGATACTTGATGTTTGATTAACCTCAATAAAAAGGTTTGATTGATGAAATTCAAGTGGGCGAGAAAGCACTTTTCCTCATTTAGCAGTAGTGGAGCAGCAACAGACGTAGAAGGTGATGGGTTCGATGCTCCTTCAAGGAATTTTTCACTATTAAGGAAGGAGTAGTCGTTAGAGAAACATGATGATCCAATTTTAGTGTTGGGTTTACATTTCCTCAAAATATCGTCAAACTCCATGAAGAAAAATTGAGTTAGTATCGAGCCCGATTTTATGAGATGGCTCTTCGAATTTTTGGGAGGGCGCGGCCTGTTGTTGTTGTTGATCTTGTCGGCTCGAATTAAATTCACCAGGCCTTCGGATTTAAGACTTGTGCCTGAATCCTGTTCATATCATCTACTGATACGACATTGTTTCTTCAGTTAGTAGGAACCACCGAAAGCTCCAAGCAATGCCAGGGATCCCAGGTTTGTCAGTGATTCCTCTTTCAATTTCTCATTTTACATCATGCTCCGTGTGTTCTGTCCCGTGGAAGGTTTAGCTTTCTGGCCTTGTTGGAATGTTGTCCCCTTTCCTGTTGATCAGTATTTGACCAAAAGATCTTGGGTCTGACTTCATCAGACGCGTTTTGAGATGTGCTCTCGCATTCGCCTTCCGCTACAAACCGCAGTAGCATTTGAATGTGAATCTGGCCTAGCTGATCTCACTTCGATCTTCCCCACCTGAGTATATCAGTTGGTGAGTTCGAATGGTTGCGAGGTTTGTTGGGCATACAATAACATCGTCGGTAGGAGTCGCTTACGGACGAGGCTGTGTAGTGTTCTGCTTGACTCTACTCCATCTACATGAAGAGCTGACTTCTTGGCACTTGACTTCTTGACAAGCAACACCGCGTCCATCAGTGATCAGGCCTGGGCTCGGGCCAGTATTCTTAAGGGTAGATAGCTTGAATCTATCTTCGAATACATCTCAGGTAATCGAGAGCTCATAAATTTTCCAAACTCACCTTGTGGTGGTTAAATAGAATGGGGCTACTCCTACTTCGCATACCAAAGCAGATAGCGCAAATTATCTTTCTGATAGGCTGACTGGTGTGCAGGTGTTGGAATTGGCTGAGAATGTCCGGGCTTCGACGTTGGCTCACTCGCCCGACAGGCACGAAGATCAACCATTGCAAAATATTTACTTTCACTCTCCCTGGGAACGTCATAAAATTGAGAGTAATACCAACAACTGAATAACCCACACAGAACGTTTTGAAGGACATCTCAGTACACGGTTTTCTTTTTCTCCTATGGATGGGATTATTTTTCGAGAGCCGTTCGAGTATAGGCCCATCCTAACGATGTGCGATCGGGAAACGGTGAAGTCATCCGGAAAATGCCGGTGATGGATGATCGCAATAGACGTATCCTCTAGAATTTGTTGGCTTTCCCATTTCTGTCGTAACAGAATCTTGTTTTTCAAATGTTTTCCCCAGAATTCCATTACTAGCACCTTGTATTGTCGTTTAAGTGTCATTTCCACCAAATCTAATCAGTATTCCTCACCTGAAACTGGCATTTCTCTCTATTCTCTTTTCTTGAGACATGAGTTTTATATAATCGTACTTGATTCAGACAAATTTATAGGTGTATCTGTTCTTATTTCTTCAACATATAAATGGAATAACCACATTTAAACTCCATTTCTTGTGAATTTCTGAACCTCTCTGTAATTCTAGAACACAATTTCTGAAAAATTTTTGTGTCCTGATATCTTTTTCAAGAAACTTCTTAAGTACTCGCATGGAAATCTGATTAAACAGTTTTTGCCCTTCGAAAAAACTGTCCCTAAGCACTTGGAAGTTGCAATTTCGAAGTTAGATCATCCGCTCTTCAATCTCATCCTTCTCTCAGTCCTACAGTAATCTCAAAGCGGAAAGATCCGGAAGAGACGCCGGGTTTTGATGAGTAGAGCTTAAAGAGCAGGCAAGCATTCAGATAAAGCTTACAGGAGAAAAAAAGATGAAAAAGCTGGAAACATGGCGAGTCAACGTAGCACATGCCCTAATGACATACACCTACACGTGTTGGTTGGAGTGGGTGAAGTGGGAGTGTAAGGAATCGAGCAGGAGCCGGTGCTGAGTTGCCGTTCCCCATTGCCTCCTTAAAGCCCCCGCAAGTGCGTTCAATTACCCGAAGATTTATCGTAGGCGATCGAACCGTGGAAGAATAGAATGGTAGCAGAACACTACACACATCAGATCCTAATAGCCCTTGAATACTTGTAAGTCAGCGTAAAGGGAGGGATTTGCAAAGACTGAGCTCATCCTCCTCATATGGAAGTGATAACGATGAAGAAGAGGGAGGCTGCCGTTTCACTCTTGGCACGTTGGCACTTCTAATCAGGATAGTAGTGATGTTTCGAATGCCTGTGAATGTGGTCTGTACAACGGCTTGCACCTCCAAGCCTCCAGACCTGTACAAGTCAGGGCATTGTCTTCATAGACGAGCCTGGTACCATTTAACCAGGTCCGGAGTGACAGAATGCTTGGTTGCTCGGGGCTAGTGTCTAGCCGGGGTTTTATGCCAAATAATTAAGTGAATTTTCAGCAACATGCTCAAATTTCCTATTCGTTCCGTTGAACCAATTTGGCCTTCTCATCAACTATAACAATACGGAGAAGTTGGGTGGTGTGCGGAATATGCTACCAGATGTATGGTAGGAGGTTCAAGTCCACGACAAACATTTACATGCCTTAATCAATCGAATCTTTTTCCCCCATTTTTGTTTTCCTGGTATCAGAGCCGTCTGAGAAGATATATTTCTTGGGCTCTGTCATTGCATAGGACAAAGAGTTCCCTCTCCTCTCAAGTGTAAGGAAAGGGATCTGCCAATCGTCTGGTAATTCCGCAATGAGCCTTAGAGGCTTGATAATACCTTTCGTCCATCAAATGCCTTTAGTATGTACTTCGGCTGTCATGTCATGAATGTATGGGGAACACTCAGGACTACGAAGTTAATGCCCTTGTCAGTTCGCCGCTAAACCGAGCCTGACCGTTTATCCTACTTCTCCCGAACAGGTAAAACAACAAACTGCTATCTAGACTTTTCAGGCTACTTTTTCAGATCAACGACTCGTCAGTCATCCGAAGTACATAGGGAAATCTTGATCGGGAGGACAGGGCAGCATAGAGAGCTTGGAATGGATGAGTGGGAAGTACCCAAATTTCGACTAGGTTAGCTCCATTCCTTGAGCTAAAATAAAAATGATAAATCTCCAAGTATTTAACGCATTCAAGGAGCCAAGAGTGGGCGGATATATGTATCTCAGCACTGGCTCCTGCTCGGCCTTCCATTCCTTACACTCCCACCTCACCCACTCGAGCCAATGCGT